ACGTCAGTGACTCTCTAGTAATCGCAGAATTTGGCATTGAAAATACTGTGGAATCACTGATTGCTTGGGGAGAAGATGTCATTGGTTCTTGTGGACTTTCTGTTGGTCCTTCTGTTGTACTCATCATGTCAATTGTAAAATCCGATTCTGTGTTTGAGTTTTGGAGTGATGTCATGTTGTCTACATCTTTTGTAGAGAGCATAAGCTCTTGCATTTCACCTTTTGACGTAATCTCTGTCGTTTCTATTGAGACATGTTCTTTGGCCATTTCAGACAAAATCATTCCATTACTCATAGATGATATGTTTGATTCTATGCGAAATGCAGCATTTGACATTGATATTGCTGTAGTTTGACTTCTTTCTGGGTCAGAATCTGTAGAAGTTTCTTGGGATATTACACTTGATCCTTCTAATGTACTCATAGCGTAAGATGAATAAATTGACTCTTTGTTCGCTGCTATTGTTGAGTTTGGGAACAATGCCACGTTTTGTATTTTTGTTGTAGAAAATACAATTCCGTGTGTTTCACTTTCTTTAGTCTTCTGTGTTGTTTCTGCAGAAAAATGTTTATTCGTTATTCATTGTAATCAGATTTGTGTCCAAGGTGATTTAGTGATTTGTGTGATTGTTACCTAATCACGAAGTATGACATTGATAGCAGGAAAGCAGTCAAAATACCCACTAAGACAATGTTGTATTTTTTCTGTACTGTTTGGTGCACACATAGTATAGTCTGTTTGTGTATCAAACACTGTACGATTATTCAGTTATAATGTCTGTTGTAGCGTTTTGCTAAGGTATACTTAAATGCAGCTTAGAAATGTCAAATGAATGCATGATAAAGACTTTTTGAAGGTGTAGTTAATGCATAATGTGAATTGTTTAGTACTTTTTTTGCTTAATATCTTTTTATTTCCTGACTATAATGGCTTATACAGTTTTCCTGCATTTTGTGAATCTTCTTCCACCAGCCAAACACATGCACTTAACCTTATCAAAGTCTCATTGTCCATTGGTTATACAATTATACATGTGAGTGTTGGTGTTTATGTGTGCTGCAAATCCACAGGCATCCTACCCAGGGTGTACTTAATCCTTTTGTCCCATCCATGTGCCTGATCAGGATAAGCAACTATAAATAGATGGATGCCCATATTTTAGCAGCACTGTGTAGCAGATATAAAGATCCGTAGTCTTTTATTTTAAAGTTTTTCTATTAGTCTCTGGCCCCAGTGGATCATGCGGTCATGCTTATCCAATGAGTAGCGTTGGTGGGCGGGTCTCGCGCAGTGAGGCTTGAGGCGATTGAGAGCACGGGTTTTTTTTTTGGAGAAGACGGTTGAGTAACGGTGGACGGGTGCAGTGGGAACAGAGTCGTGCGAAGTTTCCAAAAGGAATCACGGTTGTTATACTTCGAAACCGAGCGACCCAGGTTTGTTTTTGTAAGGACAAAAGTCTGCATTTTTTTGAGTTAAGAGTTATCGAGGCTAAGCCGTCTCAGGCGGAGAGTGTGGTGAGCAGTCCGGTTTACGTGTGCTGGGTGCCATTTTGATCTGCAGCGGAGGACAGCAACGCAGTGGAGCTGTTTGGGTGTGGTCGGTGACAGCGGGTGTGACGAGTGGTATTTTCGGGAGTTCGAGTCATATTTTGGCATCGAGTGGAAGTGGAGGAGCCGAGGAATATCGTTCAGGAGGGCATTCGAATTAGTGATGGGCAAATGAAGCTTTCTGTATTTTTTGACCTCACTAGATGGTGCTCTTGGCTTGCTTTGGGGCATGTTTTGAGCCCTTTTTTTGAACAGACAGCACCATCTAGTGGAGTAAAAAAATACAGAAAATGGTTCATAAGTATCATTTTTCCCATCACTAATTCAAATTAGCGGTGCTGAAGTGGAGGCTGCGTGCGCCATTTTTGAGAGCCTGGGCCCCGGAGCTGTTTTACACAGACAGATACTCGGGCGAGTTCGCTGCGAGAGTGAGTGACCCTGCCATACAGAGGCCGCCTCCTGCTTACCCTTTCGCCCGGGTAAAGGACTCCGCAAGATTGCAGGTTTGGACAATTGTATGGATAAAGTGTGTGTTGAATGTAGTTGTTACGTGCAGTCAAACGGTAATTTAAAGTGTTTGTTTAATGTCATTTATGTACTGGATTTTCAATAAGTAAACGACGATCGGTATTGTGCTATGTTTTGCTGAGGTATTGTAACCCTGAGATGCTTTTCTTCTTGAGTTAAACCTGGTTTTTCTGTTATTGTTGGTGATGGGACAAATTGTGGTGAATTGCAAAAAGGGTATGTTTGAGTTATTTAATTTCTTTTGAGTTATTGTGGCCTAATTCAGCCTTGCGTTCTGAAGTATTTTCTTTTATGCCGTGCATTTTATAGCCTACTGTTTAAGGTTGGAGGACAACGGAAAGACAAGCGACCTTTCCGTTTACAATAAATTGCTCATTTATGTGTTTATTTTGTGTTTCGGGTGATTTATGCGTTAGAACGTTGTGTAACTATCTGGGGGTAGGAGCGTCCCACTTGACGTGCTGGGTCTTGTGAGTGCTGGGCTGTCGGCAGGTTATATCGATACCTGGCCGAAAGCGTATAAACTTAAGGGGGCCACCGTGTCCATTTTTGTCCCCTGAACCTGCCTTCCAACACCCTACCACAGCAGGTCAGGTGAAACATATTTGCACACGCAAATACTGGGAACTTGTGGTTTGGGGACTGAGATCCTCTCACTGCTTAGTCTCCCTGGACAGAATAACAGCCGGTTTCCCCCTACCAAGGCGGGGCGAAATCCCCCTGGTACAATTGTCAGTTCATTTAGCATATGAAGTAATTTTGCTGGTTTCTTCCTGCTTCTTCCTTTTCTGGCCACTTTTGTGTAGTTGAACCATATTCCTGGCAATGCTCTTAGTCACACCTTAAGCTCTTTCAAAAGCAGTTTAATCTTTGTTACACTGACAGATAAAACTTAAAAACAACTTCAGATAAATCCATACCAGAAAAGGGTGACACGGTAGCACAGTGGTTAGTGCTGTTGCCTCCCAGGTTCTTTCTGTGTGGAGTTTGCATGCTCTCCTTTTTTTGCCAAGAGCTCTAGGTTCTTCCCACAGTCCAAAAGCATGCAGGGCAGGTTGATTGGTGAGTCTAAATTGGTTGTGTGTGTTGGTTCCTGCCTGTGCACCTTGTTCCTGGGATAGGCTCCATGTGACCTCAGTTGGGATTACGTGGTGATGGATGGATGGTCTCCTCATTAATCCCTTGTATTGCAACTGACATGCCTCTGCATTTTTTTTTTTCAGATTTTCGAAGAATAAATTGATATTAACTAAGTCAGGTAGACCAACATTTGTAATATATGTAAATTAACCAATCAATTCTTATTTACTTTGGACATCATTAAATGCATATATTCTTTCCTCTTAATTTTTATGCTGTGTCTCAGGATCAATATATGAAAAATTATCAGAAATCACAACAAGTTTTGAATTAAATTTTGCCCTCCATTTAAACAAGCATCCACCCTCTCAACATCCATTCTCAGTGGAGACTTGGCACACATTTGAGAGACTAACCACTTGTCCTATACAAGGTTACAGGGAATCTTGACCCTATCCCAGAGGCTACGGGTGCAAGGCAGGGAACATCCCAGGATGGGGCACCAACCTATCACAGGGCAGAGAACAACCCAGGATGGGGCACCAACCTATCACAGGGCAGAGAACAACCCAGGATGGGGCACCAACCTATCACAGAGTACACTCGCATATGCACACCTATGCGCAATTTGGTAACTCCAATTAACCCCAGCATGTTTTTGGACTGTGGGGGGAAACTGGATTACCTGTGGGAATCCCCATGATGACATGCAGAAAACATACAGACTCCACAAACATGGCACCCTACTGGAGACTCGAACCCAGATCCCAGAAGTGTGAGGTGACAGCCCCCTCCTCCTCTCCTGGCTTGTATCATAGAAATTAAAAAGTAGTAATGGTGTCAACACCACGATGAATTCAGGTAGAATTAATTTTACCACAGATGTGATATCTACAAATATAGCCTATCTAGTTTCTTTTCTTAATCAAAATGTTTTGCCATGGACACGTTTGTCCATGTGCATACAGGTTGACGATTCCTGGTGACAGGTCCCTTCATTCACCTGTGTCTCTCCCATTGGTTTATTAAGCACAATACCCCAATGAAGTCCCTAATCTGTCCTCCTGTCTCTGTGGATGCATTCACAGTTCGGACCAAAGCAAGTGTTATCAGTTTGTGCTATTTATGATTCAGACATCAAACATGTTTACTGAAAACTTGACAATGTAATGACCTCAGAGCTAAAGTGTCACTTATAAAATTATTATTAACTAGACAAGTGACATATTTCAGTGAAAGAGATAAGGTTGTCATGGAGGTACTTTTGATGAGGTAGACTCAGCCCACTGCAGGGCACACTGCCACACTAAAGGCAGTACAGACGTCCCAATTTGCCCAACTGCATGATTTTGTGCATAAGTAACCCATTGGACATACATGCAAAGTGCACACAAAGACCAGCAGGGGTGGGAATTGAATAAAACATTTTCAATCATTTGTTATAAATAGTAAAAATTCTGATATAATTCAGCTGCAACTACAAGAAAAAGCTCTATCTCCTATGTATTTAGTATGAGATTATTTCCAGACAAATATAATTTATATAACATATACAGGTTGTATCTTTTCATGTTTGTGGCAGCTGAGAATATCACACATTTTATATACAGAAATAAGTGACTGTAGAGCATAATCAGCAGATTGTGTCATAAACAACTTGTTGCTTGACTTCAAATCATACACAGAATGGGTACTTACCAGGCTCACACAGCACACATATGGTGACAGTTAATAAGACGAACAGTGGACGGGTCTCTAGGAACCACAGATTAATGGACTCCCTGTGTCCCACCTGGGCTTCCATAGCATCTCAGAATCCAGCAGCCTAATTATAGTTTATAAAAGCTGCGCACAATAAACACAAAGCAAAGTAAAACCAATGAAAACCCCAAAATTTTTGATATCTCCAAAATTCTATGAAGTCGGAGTGACGCCTCTTTCCTGCAGGGCTCAGAGGGCACGTATGGCCGGGGGAAGCTCGCTCTGTCTGCTTCTAGCGACATGAGGGAGGGAGCGCAAAAGGGCACACCTTTTGTAAACTTGATGATCAGCATCAGGTTGCCCTCTTCCTAAGTCTGCTTTTCCGCTTACATGCATGGCCCTTTTGGTAACTTGATCTTTGCTTTTGTGTGTTTTTTTTTTTTTAATCCCTGAAAAAAATATCTGTGAATAATCTTAAGATCTTCGATTGCGAAATTAAGCTTTGACTTCAGCCACATGACCACAGTGTAACAGTACAGGACGTTTTTGCCTTACACCATTTATGGTTTGGTTGAAGCATAAGGATTCTGTAGATGTTGATAAAGGCATTGCGCATGCATGTTGTTTTTATGTCATTTCTCTCTCTGTTTCCCCTTGCTGGTCAAGGCAGAAGTTGACAGAGGGTCACACAATAGTTGGACGCACTAACTGAAACCCGAAAGAGGGACCTGGACTTTGGAAATTTAGGCTGAGAAATAAAATAGGAACTAAAGGTGCTAAACAGGAATTAAAACCAACACAGTAAACTGAACAAACAACAAATAAAATCTACTATGCTCCCTCTCCCCACCAATTGCCCCTGCTTTTCTGACCAACTTCCTCTTACATCATCTGACGTATTTTTTCCATCTGAGGCAGCTATTCAAACTGGCCAGTCCGTCAGCCACTCTCTGTTAATCCCAATGAACCCACTCCCCGGCTTAAGACGTGTCATAGTAGGTGGCAAGAAATTTCACTTGTAGGGGACAATTGGCTCCACTTGGCTGGTGACGCTGGAGTCAGGTGCCATGATTCAGCCTCCTGGTATGTGATTCATTTGCAACTGGTTGTCACTTCTACTGATTGGACCAAGACACTAATTCTAACAGACCTTAACAGCTTTAATATACATTTATAACAAACATTATATAATAATACAGTTATAATGTTTGTTATTATCATGTAATGCTTGTTATTAATGTATATTAAAACTGTTAAGGTATGTTACAATGATATGGTATACTTACATGCTGCTTATGAATGTTCTATGAATGCATTATAATTTTTTTATTATTATTATTATCTATAGCAATTTGTGTTGCATGGTGTTTATAGGAAAAGTACTATTTAAATAAAGTCTGATTGATTGATTTATTTTTAAATGCATTATGAAGGTGCACTGAATGTTCTGTGCTGCTCTGAGCATGTCATCACATCCAGTTCACCATCTCATTCAAGCTCCTCTAGTTTAATGGAAGCCATTAGGGTTGGTGCCCTCATATTTGCATATCTGGGACTCAAACCATGAGTCCTCCAGGGTACAGCTGTTATATGGGTGCCAGAAGTAGGTTAAGAACTTGTATGTGGCTATGCTAGTAGTAGCATTCTCAGGAGAGCCAATGAGAAGGACGCTGCTAAAGGGAGAATGAGATGTGCTTCTCCCTATAGATCAGGGGTGTCAAACTGCAGTCCTGGGGGGCCGGAGTCCTGTGTAGCTTAGTTCTTTCCCTGTTCCAGCACAAATGATTCAGCTCAAGAGCTGTGCTGTAATTAGCACAAGGAGTTGAATCAGGTGTGTTAAATGAGGGGAAACCAAAACTGTGCAGGGCTCCGCCCCCCCAGGACTGCAGTTTGACACCCCTGCTATAGATCATTGCCAGCTATACTTGCTAATTTGTTCAAATAAATACAATAGCTAGGAAGAGAATGCAGGTCCTTCAGAAACTTATCTCAAAATATAACCACAAAACAGGAACTAATGTTACTAAACAGGAAATAAAATCATCACGGTGAATACAAGAAAAAACTGAAATCAATAACAATCGTGAAATTCTCACCAAGCACCCTAGTGCCTTGGCCTTCTCACCAGCATTGTTGTAGCACCCTTGATGTATTTGTTTCATGTTACAGGACTTGCTTAACCAGTTAGTTGCTCACGTTTCATGAGTTGGCTGCAAAGTGCTTCTTAGCTGTAACAAATGGACCTTGTAAACGTGTAAAGTATCTAAGTTCCTAGTTGGAAATTTCAACTGGAATGCCCCCTGAAGTCAGAATTCCGACTCGTAAATTTGGACGGTTCACTGCAACCCCAACCTCAGAATTCAAGATGGCTGCACCCTTTAGCAACAGAAGTGAAAGCTGTAGTTATATACTGTTTATTAGCACGTGTCTTATTTGTGTTTCATTAAATTGGTCGTACACACGGTGCTGTCCGACTGCTATCTGTGGACATGTTGCTTTGGCATTTGTGTTGAAAATACCGTGTAATGTGTTGTTATCAACTGATATTGCTAACAATGGCTAACAAATAATGAACATGGCTAGAGTTGGGATCTGTTTCAGAAATAGGATTTCTTGCTTAGCCAGATAACTTGTTAGATTTAAGGTAGCCTGGGCTAAATGCAAGTGAACGAAAATAAAGACCATTTGAAATGGGGTACCTTACATTAAATAAGTTGTCCAGCTAAGCAAGAAATCCTGCTTTTTGAAGCAGGTCCCTAGTATTGCTAAATGACTTTCCGACTTACTGGAATGAGGTTAACTCGGATGTGACGTCATTCTCAGCGCTGACTTCCGACCTCCAAAGTAAATGGAGCATTATATCACCGCCAAAGAAAATATGTAATTGAATATTGACTATGAGTGAGATCCAAATACAAAAAGTGGTGAAAGAAATGCCTACCTCAGTGAAAAGTATTGATTGTTGATTATATTTTAACTGTATGATATGAATATTAAGGAACAAAAGGAATCATAAGCAGTATCAAAATCTAGAATGCCCAGTGTTTAAAATAACTTTCGTGTTGAAAGGTGGGATCATTTCAAAACTGGCAGCATACATTGGGGGCCGCCATAAACTCCTGTGTAAACACTTCTAGTACATTTGCTCGATTACTCCAGATTGCCATTGTTACATTTTGGTTAATTGTGTGTACATTCGGTGGAAAAGGGAAGAAATGTACAGGGATTGATAAGATACATTCAGCACTCGATAACAGCTCGATACAGTACCAATTAGCGGATTACATTAACTTATCTTTGTCAGTCAGCGCAAACAAATAAAAAGCATTTTGAAGTTTTGGAACAGTTATCATTTGTCTGACTGCAACATGAAAGTCATAAATGTGAAAAGAATAACTTTCTATAGCTCATTGATGTTAAGAATTCTTTAAGACCAATGCGAATACCAAATGTCAAGTGCTTGTGGTACGATGAGCAAAACTTGTGTTAGACTGGCCACCTTATCTCTGTTTCATCTGCAAGTGCTCAGTAACAGAAGTATACAGGTTTCGTGTACGATAAATGCTTTGAGAAAGAGAATAGAAAAAGAGTTCAAGCTCATAAACAGGAAGAGGTGTAAGCGATGGACAGCCTGTCACGCCGCACAATCGCTCTAGTGGCCCTGCTTACAGGAGTTTTTGCTGGGTTTTCACTCTCTTCCAGTTCCTTTATGTCACTCCTAATCAGTCCTCATATGTTCCACCTGTGTAGCTCCTTATTTAAGTTGGAGTCCCTATTTAAGATGTAGTCTTCCCTTTGTTTGTGTCGAGCACTGGGTTTCCTTTGGTAAATCCCGGTATGTCTTTACTCTTGTCCTAGCCCTCTCCGCTCCACAGGCTTATCCATTGGTTACTATATGTCTGTCTTATGTTCTTGTTCAGGGCAGTGCCAAGTGGTTTGGTTCTGTTTAATTACTTGATTAAAATTCCTCCTCACTGATCCTGTGAATGCCACGATAGAATGCTAGAGCATTAACTTGTGGATGCACTAACCGTTTCCCTCAGAGATGAGGTTTTGACTGGCAGCCAGGAACTGCAGGAACTGAGCTGGTTCACCAGCAGGAGTTGATCTTGGCTCAACACTAAGAGACACTGAACGTTAGCAATTCCATTAACAAAGTTAATGGAAAGTAGTTATCAAAGTATGAGGGACATTTAGCCCCATCCAACCCACACCATCAGATATTCCTGTGGCAGTGCCAAGCCCAGCCCCCACTCCATCCATCCATCCAAACTCCATCCGTCACCCTGCCTGAATGCTATGATGGGTGTGCCAAAGCATGCAGGTGCTTCCTTCTCCAACTTGACCTCGATATTGTCCATCAGCCCCCACGCTGGACCGGTCCCGGGTCGCTGATGCTATCTTGCATCTGTTGAGGTGGGCACTCGAGTGGCCGATGGTGGTCTGGGGACATGACAGTGAGACGGTGTCCAGGTATAGTGGCTTTGTTTGGCCTCAGACGTGAGTATTCTGCCGAGGCTGGGGCTTGATCTGGAAGCCTTCTGATGACAGGCACAAAGGCTGCCCATCCCACCTGCCCACCGCCCTCAGACACTCACCAACCCTGCCCTGCACTTGACTTCCACAAAACTTGCATCCCATCTCCAAGAATTCTAGCTTTCCAAATGCATGTACATAATGACACAGTATCTCTACCTGTACGAGACACATAGGTGTCACTATAATATTGGCATGAAACAGCATTTTTAAAATGTGCTGTGTTTTAGGGACAAATTGGACAATTCAGACAAAAATATTTTCTACACTGGACAACAGATGGGTAAAGGCTTTTATTCTTGTTTGTGAACATATGTGTATTTGAACTGGGTGTTTTGATAAATTACGATTCAGATTTAGCGTTATACCCAATATGACATTTTTCGATTACCTTAATAGTCATTCCCCTTGTGGTTAAAGGGCAGCACTCCTGTGCATTACAACAAAATGAAATGTCTTTGATGTGTACACTACCAGCTTAATGCCATCGGATTCCACATAGCACATAAAATTATAGAGTTTTATTGTCATA